TGTACCAATGGTCCTTCTGACCATCACCCCAAAGGAGTGCTGTGTCACAGCCACAGCTTGTCATGTCCCTCAGTGCATCAGACACGCCCTGACACAAATCTGGGCTGCTTCTGGCAACCAAGGGAAAAATCCTCAGAAAGTTTGAGAGTTACTGCTCTGGTCTGAACAAGACCCTTTTTGCAGTTCCCAGGGGTCATGTTGTCTAGACCTCTGGCCATTCATTCTGCTTTTCTCTGGATGCTTCCACGAGACCCACAGAGCACTGCTCAGAGCAGAAATAGTACATCAGCCACACAAATGCCAAGTAGAGTGGAAAAATCATTTTGCAGGCAGACTCCTGTCCATATATTCTAGCACAATATTCATGGGACAGAATTGTTGATTCATAGCCATTTTCTGAACTCTTGCAACTACCCGTCTGTTTTCTGCAGACCTGGTGTTTCACCAGTTATTCTACATTTTGATTTGCACAGTTGATTATTCCTGTTGAACTACAATTTAGAACTCGTCCTTGATGAACTGCATCATATTTATTTCAGATCAGTTCTCCAATATATCACATTAATTTTGAATTCTAATCCTGTGCTCAGAGGGCTTACATCCTCCCCCGGTTGGTGTCATCTGGAAATTTTGCATGCAGATTCTATCATCTAAATCATTAATTAAAATATTGAATATTTTCTGGCAATCTAGGGCAGAATCCCACTTGACAGATCCTTCTGGTTTGACTGTGAATCACTAGTAATTATTCTGAGAAGAGCTTTCCAGCCAACTGTGTACCCACCTTGTAGCCCATTGTGCCACCTTGTTTATGAGAAGCTGAAAAGACTTCCAAAAAGCAAAATATATTATTTCTCTGCTTACAGGAAAATTAGGCTCCACTGACAAGGTACTTTCTGGGAAAAAAAAATCCATGCAAATTCATTTATCATATTATTATCTACAGGCTAATTATTAAGAAATACAGTTGACTCTTTGACTCAAACTTTTTTCCCCAAGAATACAAGATAAGCTAGCTACTCCAGTGGGGACATGGAAGGACCCAGAAGAGTTTACACACAGGCGCAGCGTTTGCTCTTTCATAGATTTTTTGAACCTAATCTGTCCTCCAAATGTTCTCCACTGTTGCCACTAATTGTTCAGAGATTGCTTCAGCTATTTCATCCAACGTTGAAGAGATAATTTAATAAACCCCATCTTGTTCTAAAACACCCATTATCCTCTCTCATTAATTTATAATCTGTTCTTTTCCTGCTCTAGTTGGAATTCTTACCTTTCTCAAGGTCGCAGTTCTTTTCCTGCCACTTGATTCCAGACCATCCTTTTAGGCAAAGAACAACACAAACACTTACATGAACTACTCAATCCTCTCTGCACCATCAGATTATGAGTTTTTTAACTGACATTTTGTAATTCCCTGTCAACTAGTAGCCCAGAAACTCAGTCTTCCTCTTATTACTACTGAGAATGTGGTATGTTTCTTTGCTATCATACCCTTTATTAGTTGTACCTTGTTCTGTGAACTGGCCTACCTGATTTCACCCTTGCATTTTTCTCATCTTCTTTTACAGTCATCTCCAGTAACATATTGAGTTTCCACCTTAGATATGAGTCAAATTATCAGAGCATATAATTTTGTCTCTTCTTGCCCTTTTTCTACTGGAATGCCTTTCATCTGGGCTTTTTTTACTCTTTATTTTGACTGGGAAAGAAAAAGTTATTTCCTTTTAAAATTGCCAGAATTTCTCAGGCTTGTATCCCAGGAAACATTACCTATCAGTTCTATGAGCTCAATGCAATATACTTTCTTGCATACTATTGTTTTTATTCTCAAATTCTCTCTTCTCACCTTCTGAAGAAGGACAGGCTCACTCTTTCCTGATTGCTACCACTCAAATCGCATTTCACCATCATAGGCTCAGCCATCTCTTTCCTAACCAAGCCCAGGAGCACTTCCCTTCCACTGCTATTTCTACATTCTGTAATGCTGAACCTATTATACTCACATGATCTACTGAATTCAGTATTTAGCACATAAAGTGGAAATACTCTAAACCTCTGCTATTGTTTGGTAATATATGATAAAATGACTGGGTGAGCCCATGTCTTGGGACAAGAGCCATCTGCAAGAAAGAGAATCTTTGGCATCAGTGCCAGTAAAATGAGCATACAGACACAATCAAAATTTCTCCTAGCCATAACTGCAAACCTTTCCAGGTAACAGCAAACAGCAAAGTGGAAAAGAGGTTTAGGAAATACTCTAACCATGGCTGCACAGAGGCATTGTCCTCCCAAGCTTCTTTTGCCAGCACTCTGGTCAGCTGTAAATTGAAATTATTCCTCTGGTTGTTGCAATAGCTGCAATCACTTAGCATGTCTCAATTCAGTGTTGACACCACCCAGGCTTCAGATATCAAAGCTTTTTTGTACAAATTAGCTCCCTTCTCATGAGGCCATGCCCCCTCTGCTGCTAGCAGATATTGTTCTCTCCTCCAGCTAAACTGGCACTCCAACAAAACAAAAGGAGCACTACAGCAAGGATCAGAGGAGCAACCACATGTACTGCCATTACATCCTTATTGCAACTCTTCAATTAGCATTACACACTCCAGTGGATTTCTCTGAGAAATACATACCTACCCAGTGTTTATTATTGCTGAGTACATCATATAAATCTAATAAGGAACAAGAAGGATCTCCAAAAATATAGATATCAATTTGATACAAGCTGGAAGTTTTTTCCTCATACAAAGGAAATAAAATTCAACCTGTTTCTTTAACAAGTCTCCTGAATGTTTGGTGCACCTTAATGTTTAATAATTCTTTAGTACAGCTGCCAAGATTTGAATATATTTATTAACATCTTTACCTAAGGGCAACTCCAAAGGAATATAAGAATTTCTTACAGGAGACCAAGCAATCTTCATGCCATTAAGTCTCCAGAATAGGTCTGAATCTGAATCTGCTGGGTTGCACCACTGTCTGACTGTTGTCCTGGGCTTCCAAGGACCCCATTTCACCTCTCTGAATTTTATGCAGCTCTGCTTGCCAGGTGTTTTCCATCCACCAACAATCATGAAACCCCAGCACACACCTCCCCAGTAGTGAAGAAGAACTCAGCTTTCCAACACACACCTCCCCAAGCACCCTGGTCACAGTGCCAACTTCTGGCAGCTCAGGGGCAGCAGACACAATGGCAGAAAAGTGTAAAACTGGACAGAAAATAATATAGTAATGCAAGGGTGTTAGAAGTAATAGGGTTTCCAGCAAAGGAGAGAGCCAGGTTAAGGAAGAGAGCAGATATCCTCACAGTTGGGAATTTTGGTGGAAAGCAAAAGAGTGACAAAAACTCCTAAGAAAGAGCTGAGGATTGGCAGTAAGCAGCAAGGACAAGAACAGCAGTGGGGAGCTTTAGGAGTGTGCTGCTGGCTAGACAGAGGAAGGAGAGCCCTGGGGTTGTCCCAGACTTCACCTCTCCCATCAGCACTGGAGCACATGTGGAGGAGAGTTCCTGTTTCCTCTCCTTCAGGACACGTCTCACTGGCACACACAGAAACCAGGCTGTAAATCAAAGCAAGGCAACACAGACAGCTCAGAGCTGCACCACCACTCCAAACTGCTGTGCTGGTGCAGACAGCTGGACACAGAATCACACCCACTGCAGCCAAAACTCCTCCTAAAGGCAAATATAAAATATTAGAAAAATAAATGTCTCGCACATCACTAGTTTATTTACACTGTGGAACTAATCCCTTATCTAGACCTACCAAAACAAGAGCAATATCCAGTTGATTTTCTATGCATTTTTTGCTGCATCTCAGCTGGCTGGCAGACATGGAAACAAAGCAGTAGGATCTGCTCATCCTCTTTTCCTCCTCCCACGTCTCAAATCAGAAACTATCCCATACAGGGAAAGCACTAAATGAACTCCAGCAGACTTTACACTAGAGGGAGCTTTCCTCAGAAAGTCACACCAGCGTGGCATCCTCTTTCTCACTGCATTATTTGTAATTCATCTACAGAGAAATACACCAGACTGAGGCGAAACAATTCCCATTCAGACCATCCAGTTTAGCCAGTTCAAGCACTGCAGCAGGCCAGTGGTGAGGAGGGGGAGTACAGAGAGGGTGCCTGGCAAGGTCTGCCCAGAGATGTGCTCCAGCAGACAAGATTAGACTCAACACTGACATGTTGCTTAGAAGCCTCCTGATATGAGCCATGTCCATCCTGCAGCCTCACCAAACTCCTATGTTGAGCACAAGAGCAACTTTACAGACCACATTTTATACTGACCCAAGAGACCACTCATGGTTAAGCTGTTAATGAGTACCTTAACAAGGAAAGCTGGGATAAACCTTCCCCAAGGCTCATGGCCATCCATTTCTGAAAGCAGAAACATGGATAATTGTGTTCCTCACTGCTAGTACAAGTGTTGAACTGATCTTCAAGTAAATTGTTTTTAAATACTATTTAAGTTGAAAGTACTACAAGATGCTAATGACAGTCAGGACCTATTCATTTTCCAAACTCCAGTAAATCATCCTGAGAATATGAGTGGAACTACAACAGTGTCACATTCCTATTTTCTGGAAAAATCGCTTTGCCCAGGATTTTTCTCCAGGGAAGCTGAGAAGTCTCAGAGAAAAAGGAAAACAATAATTATCTGATTTGCTTCTCCTGTGTTTTGCTGCTTTGGAATGTCTTTGGAGATTGTTTAGCACAGGTGGTTGTTTCATTGGATTTCTGGTGTGTTTTGACTCAATGGCCAATCAGGGTCAAGCTGTGTCGAGACTCTGGAAAGAGTCACAAGTTTTCGTTATTATCTTTTTAGCCTTCTGTAAGTATCCTTTCTGTATTCTTTAGTATAGTTCAGTATTCTTTAATACAATGTAGTATCACAAAATAATAAATTAGCCTTCTGAGAACATGGAGTCAGATTCATCATTCCTTCCTTCCAGCCATGGGGCACCCAGCAAATACAACAGAACAGAAATCCTTACCTGTGAAAGCATTTGTGGCCTGAAAACCAGCTTCCTGCATACTGCTCTTCCAGAGAAGCTTGAGATTCCCGTCTCAACCTGTCCTTACTGGAGACAACTGCTGAGCTTGTTGCTGTCAAGTCACTTCCATCTTAGCTCGTCAGAGTCCATTTCTCTTTCCATTCCTGTATCTGGCACCATCCAGTTCCCACCTGTTCCCAGGTCTTTCGATGTGAAAGCAGAAGGGATCTGCACTGAAACTAAGGAGGAGTGTTGGACAGTCCCATCAACCAGCCAGCCAGAGGATTTGTGCCATGATGAATGTGAAAATGAAGCAAATCTCCTGTCAAGGCTTCCCTTCCCTTTTGCAATTAAGTTCTAATCCTGTGTTCATCCAGCACCATTTTTCCAGGTCTCGGCCAATGGTGACATTCAATTGTCTCTCCTCTCTTGTGCTCCTCTCCCCTCAGGCACGCTCACTGAGAAATTAAAAAAGAAGAGATTATGTTTCCTGATGACCTGTAGCAACACTAAAATTAACAGACTCCAGGGAACAAAAACCCAAAATACATTATCAGGGATTGATTGTACACATTAAAGGAGATCTTCAGAAGGCAAATCTTGCGATTTTGCTGAGATGCAAAGTGTGACCACACAGCTCTTTGAAGTGCAAAGAGGAACAGTGCTGAGGGTGTCATATGCATCTCTGAGAACATGATATGATTTACATTTCAAAAGCCATATTTAGCAGAGATGGGGGCAGCAATACAATAACAAAATTGCAGTTAAAAGAGAAAAGGAAAAATACTCAAGGCTCTCAAGTCTAGTCTATTCAAAACCACAGTGAAACTATTAGCATTTCATATAGCTGCTTCCCTCCTTTTCTGGAGCAGGAAAAAAGAGAGCTGTGTGCCAACACTATATATGCCATTCTTACAGTCTTCTGCAGTTAAAAACCTCTGCATTTCTTCCTGTCGACTACCAAACTTTGTAGGTCTTGCTGTAGATTATCTTTTTAAAATCTCAAGTGTAACACAGATGATACAATTCAGATGCCTTCAGACATTCACTGAGGTTGGTTAAAAACACCCACAGGCTACTCAGGCAGAAAGGTGGTTACATTTTACTTGATACTGCTACTTCTATAAAGCATGGACACTTACAGCTCACTGGAAACTACAGCTTGTTCCAGACCCAGCTTTTAAAAACTAGGATAAAATTACTTTAATGGGCTTAAAGTGAACAGCAGACAGGCACATGTTGAAGAAGATTATTTTAGAAAACAAGGAAGAAAGAAAAGGGGACTTGGATGAGAACCTATCAGTCCCAAATCATCCTGTTCCTCGTGCAATGATGCTTGGCTCACTACTCCCAGCTCAGTGGCACAGGCAGGTTGAAAATATATCTGTGATGATCTTATCACCTATTAATGGATTTTAGATGATGAGCCCAGTCAGAGCTTGCACTACAGGACTGGACCCAAGGTCTACCTGCTGGAGCAGTCCCTGTCAGAGTATGGCAGTCCCAGCAGCCGCTGCTTTGCAGAGCACTGCAAGAGCCAGCTCAGGGATATCCCAGAGTGTCCAAAACTGCAGAGAAGACTCTCATGCTCCTTGGGGTACAGTCAGCCAGGCCTCGAGGGCTTCATCAGGGACCCACCTTGGGTGAGGGACAGAAAGGATCTCTCCTCAAGTGTGCCACTGAAACCAAGTGAGCCTGACACCTGATGAATGTCATTTCCCTTGCAACACATTGAATGGAAGGTAGCTGCTAGCAAAGATGAATCTCAATGGTATTGCTTTTGCCCCCAATTTTGTAATGCCACTATTACTGAAGAACACATGGTTTCTGTCTCAACACACAGCACAGGAATGACTGATTAGTTACTTGTATTCAAATAGTCATCTGCATTCAAATCAAACAAGGTTACAGATTTTAAATGTTTTCCCCATTTCTTACCCAAACATCTCAAGCTAATAGAGAAGAAAGTGGAAATTAAGGGAGAAAAAAAAAATTATGTGTAATATCTTTTATCAGAAAACACCATGTAAAAAATTTTAGAATAGTGTTTAAAAAGCCATTATTCCTGAATATTATATAGGTCCTTGAGATACTCTTTCAACCCTTTGAAGTGCTCAATGCAACTAATAACAATTTCATATGAAGCTCTTTTATTCTAAAATATATATAACTGAGGAAATATAATATACATACACAGCAGCATATAGTTCTTTTGGGTCTTAACATTGTGCTAATTATTCTATAATGACTATAGGTGGATGCTGTACTCATTTCCCAAGCTTTCTCTCTAGTGGCCTAAGTTTCCTCTGTATTTCTAAGAGGAGATCCATATTTACATTTACAGTCTTCTAACTTTTGATTTTGGTTTATAAATCCAAAATTTTGATGCTTCTATTTTGAACATTTTCATTTCACATCTTAGAGATGCTCAAGAGATCTGCAGTAACACATTTAGCATCCAGGGAAATTCTCCTTTTTGATTTCTATATATTAGATACAATAAACTTCTAATTCTTAAAAGAATAAAGTATTTTCACTTTACTGAAAATTAATATTTTATGAAAAGAATAATTATTCTCCACATCTTCAACAGTTCTGCTAAACTAGTTAAGAACCCAGTCATTACAAGATACTGAAACATTTCAAGAGTTTATTCAGACCTTAATATGCAAAGGATTGTGGACTGCATCAGGTTTAAGTCCTTCCTTAAGGACTCAAGGTACGCTAGTATCTCTTGATTGCCCTAAGTGAGCATTTTCTATCATCGCAAAAGTGCTCTCCTCCAGTGCCAGATAAACTCAGAGGTGGCTGCAGGATGGAAGGAAGTGGAGCAGGATATTGGGGCAAGCCTGTGCAGTGCTCAGCCCTTGCTGGGCCTTGTCACCATTCAAAACCACGTTCAGTACTTATAAAATGCTTGTCCCTTACAGCTATGTGGCCTATTTGGTGATCCTTTTCATTAGGCAAACTTTAATCAGTCACATTTGCACAATTTCAGGTTTCTCGGATTATTAATGCATCCAAGTGAAGATGACAAAGCAGCAAAAATTATACCACAGCAAATAAGGAAAACTGAAAATTCCAATTGGAACAGCATGTAGAGCTACAACCTTTCTATTGTACTTCACGTTATCCAGAAATTTTCCACTAAAGCTGAGCTTATGTTTAAAGGGAGGAGTTTTATGTTTGTTTCCCAACACACTGGTATGTTTGCATGCATGGAAAGGGTCAGGACCTCTGCTGACACATTTCAGCGTGGCTCAGTGAAGCCATGTGCTTATCCTTTTCTACCAGAGTGGTGCAGAAATGCTGAACCAACCTGCTTAAGGCCCCAAAAAGTGAAAATACCTATCTAAAAATGAGAGAATAAACCATACTGATAAAACTGTAATAAGGTGTGATCTTTGATGTAACTTTTTTGCAACCTGCAGAGACCCCAGTGGGAACTGATGGCTAGCAAGAGAAAATGTGGACTAGAAAGAATAGAGATGTTCTCTTTGCTCCATCTGTTGCCTTCTTTCCAATAGCAACAACAACTCTGCTTCCACTTCTGCTTTCATTCATCTACTCTGCAGTGTTTTATGAGTCTCAGAAGCAAACCAGAGCAAACCATTGTGTTGTATAAATATATAGCTGTGCTATAAGGACTTTTGGCTACTATGCACTTAGACAATGGAATATCTAGAAGAAAAATCAAACCCACTTATTTTCATCCTCTCTGCTTTTCTCAGATTTGGTCCTGAGAAAGACACAACCATCTAAACCTCACATGAATTGCAAGCAGAAAGTATTTTGACTATTTAACATCTTTTGTGTCTTACACATTCTCACGGTATATTTAGCTAGTAAACATGTTATTTCCCTTTTCTAAACTTTCAAAGATGCAAAAGGGTAACGGTAAAAAAAGAATCTGAGGGAGAAAAGTAAGCAAAGAGAGTAATGAAATTCTGCATTAATATCTACATTTTATGAAGTATTATGCAACCATCAGCCAGGACAAGACTGGAGGAACTTGTTCTGAAAGAAGAAGTGAAATACTGCTTTTTCCAAGACTGATATTTCTGTAACATCTTGAAAAATTCAAAAGCACTGGCTGACATGTAAAAGTTGCAATTTGGTTTTTTTTTTTGTTTGGAGAGGGGATTTTTCCATTTCCTTTCACTATATAAAGTTTGCTTCTCTGGCTCATGCTTTGGTTCCCACACAGGCTTGAAGAACTCACTCAGTGTGTTGCCAGAAGAGCTACATCCATAGGAAACATTTCCTGTGATAGCCCTTGGCATCCTTTGGGATGCTAAAGGACAGCATTTCACTAAGGTGTACAACACATTTCCCAACAGGAATATCTGCACAGGGAGCCCACGCATTTTTAAGAAAGTTACTGGACAACTTGTGAGCTGTGCTTTAAATTAAATTAATCCAGGGAGGACTCATGCTTGGATTTCTTGCTTTCAGGTGAAGGAGTGTAAAAGGGGAGAGAGCTGGAGCTTCCCTGCCCTGCTCTCCCTGTGGGCCCTGCAGAAGGAGGGTGCAGCAGGCGCAGCCTCACTCCATGGATGAACGGAGGACGGGAGCACGGCGGGCTGGGCTGGCACCATCCCATCGCAACGGGAGATAGAAGCACATCTCCAAGGACAAAAGTCTTCAGGCTGAAACTCACACGAGCACTGAACTATCAGCATGCTTCAACACTTTGCTGAAGTAATGCCTATACTTCCCATAGGTTAAGGCAGCATAGACTTGGATATTTCTTTAAGTTGTTTCCGGGTAGAAAAACACTTCCAACTTTTTTTTTTGATTTAACTGTTTTGTTTCAAAATATCTTTTAAAGTTTGCTAAAGCCATTTAAAATGAAGCTCTTGTGGACACATATAGCTCACCTCTCCAACTCCTTTTGGATTTACCAAGTTTTCCAGGGTTTGTTTTTGCTTCTCACAGAGATTCAAAACTACATAAATTAATAGCAACCAATTCTACCTGATCTTTTTCAGTGGTAAAGCCTGCATTTTACTGTGTGATCCTCATTTATTTTATTTTATTTACTGCTATCTATAATTTGTCTTCCTTCCAAGATTGCATTGCACCAGTGCTAAGTAAATCCTGCTTCTTGGGAAATACTGTGCTCTATAACTCAAAGACCACTTAAAAATCTCAAAGCAACTTTCACAGGAGACCATACACAAATCAAGCAGAAAACCAGATGTTCAAAATATGTTTATCTAAGCACATCTTTCTCTCTCACACACACATGCACACATATAATTTGCTTTTACTTTCAATCTTCAATATTTGCATAGGTCAGTTGGGACTTTTTAAACAGCTGCTGTATTTTACTTTTTTGGTGCATTTCAGTGACATACAAAATGAGTTTATATGTTATGTTATACACATTTATTTTCCTACAGATATCCTCAGATACTCTTAGGCTTGTCAAGGAATCGTGTCGAAGCTTTTTCTT